AGTAAGAAACCGATGGAACACACTCCATCACCAAACAAATCCAACGCTCCGCAAAGCCCAAGTGACGCATCATGCCCTCCAAAAACGGCCACTCCACTCTATCGTAAGCCTTGCTCATATCGAGCTTCAAAGCAATGAAGCTTGTCTTCCCCTGGCGTTTCCTCTTCAAGAAATGTTGGGATTCAAATGCAAGCAAAATATTATCTACAGTATTTCTCCCAGGTACGAAGGCACTATGCTGTTCTGAAATGCATAGGTGGAGCCATCTCTTCATTCGGTTGGCAAGAACCTTCGAGAATATTTTATAAATCACATTGTACAAAGCGATCGGCCTCCAGTCCCCAATAACCTCTGGATTATCTTTTTTTGGAATAAGCACCAAATTGGTATGATTTATATTATCTGGTAGCTTCCCAGACTCAAAGACCTCCTTGCAGAAACTAACCACATCCGCTCCCACCACATCCCAATAATGTTGATTAAATCTCGGGCTGAAACCATTTGGACCAGGTGATTTGTCTGGGAACATATTGAAAAGAGCCTCCTTTACTTCTTCGCCTCGTATAGGCCGAAGGAGATCCAGATTGTGGTGATCTTTCAGTTTCTGTTCCACACACCCTAGGCCTGCCGTAAAAATACTAGTGAAATAAGCAGCAATCAAATCGCTAACCGCCCCTCCGTCCGATTCCCATCTCCCATCCTCTAGACGGAAGCCTTCAATTTTATTTTTGTGTCGCCGGTTTTTAACTGGAAGTATCGAGTATTAAGATCTCCTCCCTGGAGCCAGAATACTTTATCTCACTGCTTCCAATAAATATGTTCTTGCGCCGTCTAAAAACTTAAATATACTGTGTCGATATGAAAACAATGTATAGACTCTGTCAATACATTTCCTCCGCATTTCAGCCTTGTAAATAAAACACACTCTAAGTATGTATTGACATATCAATTTAATAAAACGTTAAATAAGTTACTATGAGTAATTTTTTCTTTGAATTTATTTCTGAAGAATTATAAAATAATAAAATGCACATTTCAATGTTAAAAATAAAAAATGCCGTTAATTTTTTTTTTCTCTTTTTTGAGTTTTAATAAAAACAAAATGTGTTCATAAACAGTTTAGTTATTTGTTGAGGCAGCGTAGATTAAAATTTTGTGTTTCGTGAACAATTCTAAAAGGTGAAACTTTGAATATTTTTTAAAAACTTTATATATGCAATATTGGTGTCATCTAAAAGAACATAAAAATTTATGAATTTTAATATTTTTGTTGTAAAATTGGATCACGAGTAAAAAAGTCAATCTTTAAAAAAGATGGGTTTTTTTATGCAAGGATGACATCACTCATTCCATAACCCGCTATGCATACAAGGCCTCATGGTTGACATCGTGTAACAAACTCATTCTCTTTTTGTCTCTCCTGTTAATACTCACTCTATTAATAATAATACTCACTCTATTAGTAACACCTTTCACCCTATTTCCCACTGTTAACACCAATTTTAATACTTTAGATTAATCTTATTGTCAATTTTATCACCAAATATGTAACTTTTGATTGTGCGCGATGAATTGTGTTATAGGCAAAATATGTGAAGTTGGAGTTACTTTTTTGGCTGAAGTTACAATAGATGACTATTTTAGTTATTTTCAGATAATTTTTTCTTTATTTTATTAATATAATATATTTTAAAAATAATTTTTTCATAACTCATCAGAGTCCGCCACTTCAACCAAAACTTCATTAAGTTCAGTAAAATCAGTCGACTCATCTAATTTCAGTATTACCAAACGGGCTCTAAATAAAATTGGACCGCCACCGTTGGGTCGTCAAGCAAATTACTCCAGTGACTTTTAAATCTATAGACTTTTTTATGAATGAATTTTGTTGACTTTTAAATCCGGACCGCCACCGTTGGGTCGTCGGAATTTTCACCTAGATCGTCGCTATCGATCTGCCTGTCCGCCTCCATCACCGGAGTTCGCCATCGTCTTCATCGGACTGATCCACCACCAATAAAATACTTTGGTTATGCAAGGGAATTAGTGGCAACAAATTATATTAATTAATTAAATTAGGGGTAGAAATGTAATATTTAGTCATATTTAAGAAAAATCAAACATATGAACATACTTTGAAAAAAATCTACTCCATCCGTCCCGAAAAGATTCACCAAATTGATTTTTGTTGATTAATGACAATCAACTTTGACCAATGATATTTTTTAATACGAAATTATTTTGAATATTAAAATTGTATCAAAATGTTCCTTATTCAAAATATTTTCATACAATAACAACAACATCCAAGCCTTAATCCCAAAAGAATTTGAGATCGGCTAACATGAATCGATCTATGATATCGATGCTAAAAAGAGAAGGCGGACAAGAAAAGGAAAAAAAGTAAGATAAAATGAATAAAATAAAGATGCATAAATATAAGATAACAATAACACTAGAATATAACCAAGATAAAAGAAAAATAAATAAAAGAGCATAAAAAAGCTAGAAGATAAAAATAACATAAGAATATAAAAAGATAAGGAAGATAAACGATAAAAGAAACAAGAGAGGAAAGGTAGACAAGACATCAATCGTCCACATGGATGTGCGTCATCCACTTTGCTCCAAAGTTCACCACCATTGACCAAGAAAAGTTAATATGGCGAATCTTTTCGGGGCGGAGATAGTATGTTTTAGTCCTACTGTGAGTAATTTTAAGAAACAATCAAATAAATAAATGAAACAAATGTAATTCAGACGAAGCAACTAGCTTATTTGGCTGTGGAGTCACCCGGTTATCCTGAAGGTCAAGAGTTCAATTTCCGTCGGGAGTAGTTTGAGCTCTTGTATTCCCTCCCCCGGGACTCCCAACCCCCTCCCCCGGGACTCCCAACCCCCTCCCCCGACCCCCAGCCCCCCCCCCCCCCCCCCCCCCCAAAAAAAAATGTAATCCATCTAGCAACATATTGTTCTACAAGAATAAATGAAGCATAAGAATCCAAATTTATATTTATTAAAAAGAAAACTCAAAGTTTCGAGAATGTTCAACAATCTCGGTCTCGTTATGATGAATTGTTATATTACACAACTCAATGAGTAAGAACATTAATCGTTACACAAGCTTTACACTTATTTTTAGCTTGTTAAATTTTGTATACTTATTTACGATTAAATACTTATTAATTTGAAATTATATTTTTATGTTTTAACGGTTTAACGATGAAACACAGTAATAGTTAAAATATTTTTTTCTTAATAGTTAACTGACAATGTACCAGAACTGCACCGATGTAATACTATCGGTTCTTCTAAAAACTTCTAGAACCGAATCGATAGGGGATTAACGGTTCTTCAAATGGTTCATAATTTTCTTTCAAGAATTGAACCGATCTCACCCTACATCTTTCTTCATAAAACGATATATAAAATATCACTTTTTATTTTATTTTTTAAGTTTATCTTGTGTATCAGTATTAATGTAGAATCTCCTTGTTCAACTTTAATGTTCAAACATTGCATATTGAGACCATCCCGGTATCGATCTCCCGACCCGGCCGGTACTAGCCCAGGACTTTTTGTTTGGGGTGTGATCTCGGATAAATCATTGACCAAACCGGCAACCAGATCTATGCGTACTTGTGACGAGTATAAGTCAACAAAAAAGACCTGAAAATCTTTGACGAGGAGAAGAGACAATTGCAGAGAATTAATGAACTAAAAATGAGTTAAAAGTCCATGAGAATCCATGATTTTAGAAGTCAATAAGAATGAAAGAAAGTTTGAATACACATAATCTTTTATAGACTTTTAAAAGTTCACACCAAATACACTTAAACTTTTAAATTCCACGGATTTTTAAAAGTTCGCCAATAATTCCCGAAACATTAGAAAAAGGAAAACCAGCATAATCAAATAGTTACTTCAGTTCAAAATTAAGGAAAAAACACATGAAAAATGAATTAATATATGTAGCAAACTAACTTGCTCACTGAGAAGTTGTTATTGCTCACTAAGGATGTTTTTAATTGGACATAAATTTTCTGGTCAGGTCTGTTCAATTCTAATCTGATCTGGTCTATTTAAATTTGTGTTGGTCTTATTTTGTCTGATCTAGTATGTGACTGAAACTAGTTCAATTAAAAATGTCCTAATGAGCATGTTGAAGTGATAAGTAGCTAGTATGTACACATCTAAAATTGAGAGAATCGTGATCATTTATCACACGAACGTGTTCAATAAATATTTTTCAAGAAAAATATAAGAACCAATAAAGGAAATGAAAAATACTTTATAACAATTCGGTGTGAGAAGAATACTTTTAATGAAGAAATAAAAAAATGTTATGGATTTGTTTTTGTAATAATCTTCTAAACCTATTATAGTATCTTCTCATGTTAATGTCAACATCCTTTATTGGGATGGAACTCGATCTTGCGACCTCCTCTTTGGGAGATCAGCGGTGATACTATCAGACCACAACGTACTCGGCAAAAAGAATGCTATGGATTTAGTAAGTTGATTCATAAAATTTAATATACATTAAGCACTCCTCTTAAACTATGTACTTTGCATTGCACCTTAGAAAATGTAAGATGTTTTAGGACTAATTTACCAGTTGGGTTTGGTTTATTCGAGTCATGTTCCGTTTATTCTGAATTGATCTGATTAAATTCAGTTGAAGTTAATATTATGTGTATCTTATCTTATCTTTATCTTACTATTATACATTTATTATATGTCTCATCCGATGTGTTTGATTGAGTTCTAGTTTACTTGGTTTAAGTGTGGTCTGATCTTGTATAAGTAGAATTGTAGAATTGAATGAGTCCCTACTCCCTAATGTCTACAAAATTATGAATTAATACATTATTAAAAAGAGTATTGCGAACTCGTAGTTTCTTAATCGCCAATCAAGAGTGAAATGATAAATGGATGCCAAAATCACTTGAATTTTAGGAGTAAATATAGAAATTGGACTTACACTTTTTGTCTTGCAGCCTGTAGGCAACGTGGATGGTCTAAAGTCTGATGATGTAAACCCCCGTTTGGTATATCATTATGGAGTTCCACAAGGATCCCTTCAGTTGTCATATGACTCCATTCAGAACATACTTGCTATATCAACCAAGTGAGTGTTTTTCTTACATTATCTACTTTTATTTTTTGAGTTTGTGCAATGAGTGTTGCAATAAAAGTGTGGTGATGTTGCAGAGACGGCAGAATCAAGGTGTTTGGGAGAGATGGTGCCCAAGCTCTACTGGAATCTCCTAACATGGTATCAAGTAAATTCTTGCAGGTAGTTTTTCTTAAAGCAAATTGGGCAGGTAGTTGTTTAATCCAAAATGGAGTAACATACGATTATAGAATGCATGGTGTTTTCTCCGTCTCTTTAGGTCCTGTTTGGATGAAGGATTTCAGAGAGGTCTGAAGAGGAAGACTTTGGGGGATCAGTCTATATATTTATAAATACAATGTTTTCACAATTTATAAACTTTCAAATATAGAATGTGTTCCCCAAAGCCTTTCTCCTTAAAACATTCCATTCTAATAGACTTCAAAAGTTCAAATATAGAATGTGTGCCCCGAAGCCTTTCCCTTTACAACTTTCCATTCTAACAGACACTATATGGGCTTTATTTTAGATGTTCCCTTTCAAAAATAAATTTTACGTAGTACTTGTCTCTCCTTCTCATCACAGACTCAAAGTTGATTTATTGATATCATTGGCAAATTAGATAACTGTGCTGACAAATTAGGTAACTGTTTTTCTTGTCTTGCAGTTTATGGAAAACCAAGGCTTCCTCATTAAGTTAAACGCTGATAACCACATCGAGGCAAGTCATTGACTAGAATCCTATTGTCCTAGTTCCTTTTTTGTAAAGCTCTGATGAAATGAACAAGTAAAAAAGTCGGGTGTTTCCCTCTGAGTGCCAAACTGCCAATGATAGTGTAGTAGACACACTGTCATTGTCAGTGACAGTCTCATATATCACCATCATGGGTAGCTGCATATTGCGGTTACTTTTTCGAGGACCTTTCCCTGTTGACTTATTGGCGGCTGGGCAGAGTATGAAGGGAGAAGAAATCCCAATAGATCTAGAGTTGTGAGATTATTTAGTCCACTTTTGGGATAAGAAAATATTGATATTTTTGTCATCACAAGCTCTCTTTCTAAAAATGATGATCATGTTTAGGTATGGGATGTAGATCAGAAGAACTTGTCAAATGTTCATGACTTAAAGAGGAATATCACATCTCTTACAGTTGTTCAGCATACTCCTTATATGTGAGTTTTATGTTTTCCTGCACTAGCCATTGGCATGTGTGATTTATGCTAGCAAAGTATTTCAAATATGGAATGAATGGATTGCTTGCGCTAATGCGCTTTGACAGGTATGTTGGAGATTCACTTGGTCATGTTTGGGTTTTGAAGCTAGAAAAAGAACCCTGCAATGTAGTGAAAATGAAATATCATATACCCTTTTCAGCATCTCATGGTGAGATCAACATCCCATCTCATAATTCACAGCTTTTTATGTTAAATCAACAAACATAAAATAAAAATCAATTCAAATAATGAATTATTGAATACGGAGTATATAAATCACATATTACTCGTACTTGGAATTCAAATAATGAATTATTGAATACAGAGTATATAAATCACATATTACTCGTACTTGGAATTCAAATAATGAATTAATTGAATGACTTTTCTGTACTGGACACTTTGTACTCCGTAATGTCTGATAGTTAAGGTCAGTGCTGGGTTGCTATTTTTTTCTGACCATTATGCATTCCTTTTTTAGGGAACTCAAATCAAGCTGGGGACAATGCTGTAACTGAAATCCTTCCTCAACCTACAGCAGAAATGAAAAGGTAGTCTTTCAGACATGCTTTTCCATCATTTCATATGAGAGGTGGAAAAATGACTTTTTTTAAAGTGGCATCTCAACTGCTGAATTTCTTCCAAGTATACGTGATGCTTTATCTTGATGCAGGATTGTTATTATTTATCAAGAAGGTTTGATTATATTGTGGGCAGTTCATGAAAGCAAAGCCATATTTACAACTGGAGGAACTGCAATGCAATCAGTAAGTTATGAGGCAAAAAAGGCAACAGCAGCATGTTGGGCTTGTCCAAATGGAACTAAATTAGTTGTTGGATACAGCAATGGAGATTTATTTGTCTGGAGCATTCCTGCATCATCAAATATTAAAATGGAACATGAATCTAGCAAAGACCCTTCTTTTGCATCTTCAAATGCTCCTATTTGTAAACTAAACATTGGATATAAATTAGACAAGATCCCGATAGCCAAGTTAAGGTGGAATTATGCAGACGGGAAAGCAAGTCGATTGTACGTTATGGGTCTCTCTGATAATCAGACAGTGAACTCGTCACAAGTGAGTTTCACTCTTACCATTTTCAGTTAGATCATATTTTACCTTGAGGGATGCATTATCCTAAGTTAGAAAACACAGCCTTCATATTACATTGCTAGTTGCCTTACGGTTCATCCAGTAACCTCCAAAACATTTTTATCCTCAGTTTTGTATTCTGTTTTTAGCATTACTGACTAATATGGTATTTTTAAGTCTTAAGATGACATTGTGCCATAACAAGCTCAAACAAGCATGTCGATCTTGTTATGTCTAAAAAATGAACACACGGATTGGTCTGCTGGGACATAGTAAGCCAAATCTCATGTCTCAATAAATACTCTCTCAATTCCCTAAAAAGACCTCAAATTTGATCGGGCAAGAATGTTAAGAAAGTGAAATTTGTGTCATTGAAATTTATCCTGTCAAGAGAAATGGGTGATGATTTTGGGACGGAGTTAAAAGACAAGTTTGGTTTATTTTGGGAGACAGGGAGTATCATATTTAGAATTTAGTTTGATTTTTTATTTTTTAAATATACGTAATAAGCAATTGTCCGGTGCGTGATATGCCAATTCTGTAGGTAGTTTTACTTAATGAGCACACGGAGTCACGCACAATTAAGATGACACTTCATCCTCCAGAGTCGTGTATTGACATGGAGATTATTTCAAGCCATAAAGCACCAAGCAAGACAAAAACTGATGCATTCATTCTACTTGGGAAGTCAGGTGTTGTTTATGCATATGATGATTATTCAATAGAAAGGTACTTATTGCAATGTCAGAACAGATCTTCACCTTCGCTCCCAAAGGAAATATTGGTGAAGTTGCCATTTGTTGATTCTAACATCACCATTTCAAAACTCATAACAGATAGCCCTTTTATGTTATGGTCAGGGAATCAGGTATGTAGTTTATCATCTTTGACTTTGTCATATATAATAATAATGTTTGCAATGTCCGTGCAAAACTATAGTACCATGTTTCCTTTGTAATGCAGGACTATAATTCCCATGCAAAAGATATATTTCCACTTTTTCCATTTGAGAGGAGGCAAAAAGATGGAACTGTATCTAACTCAGCCCATTGTGTTGAGTTTTCAAAGGCCAAGAACTTATTCATCACGGGCCATAGTAGTGGAGCCATAAATATTTGGGATGTCTCTTGCCCACTCTTGCTTCCAATTGTATCACTAACTCAGCAGGTTATACATCATCATGTAAACTTTTGGTACACCACTTTACCGTAGTCAGGACCTCTAAAAAATTCGAATTTTGATTACCCAAAATAACAATTCATTCATATAAATTTTTATAATAAGAATTAGTACATGAAAAAATTGGCACATACATCTATGTTCACCCAGACTTTACACTTTAGTGCAGCTGCATAAAATTTGAGATTTTGACATTTTGTTGTGGTTTAGGTCAAAAGTTATTTTCTTCCATTTGGCGTACTTACAAATAGTATAATACTCCGTATCTGGTTGGAAGAGGCAATAAGTGGTACTCCGTATAAGACTCAGATAACAATGAAGTTAAAAAAAAGTTAGTGCTTACTACCTCGGTACCTCCGTCCCTTAAAACTTTGTCAAGTTTGACCGGCACGGGGATGAATAAAGTAAAACTATGTGGTAGATGTTTGTGCAGAGTGAAGAGAATTAATTGGAACTACAAATTCTTTACTTAATAGGGAAAGTGTCAAAGTTAGTGAGACATCCAAAAAAGGAAAGTTGGGAAAGTTTTAAGGGGCAGAGTAAGTATCATTTTACTTTTTCCAAGTTAGCCTGATGGAATGTGATATTAACTGTGCAGACTGAAGACAACTTTTCATTAAGTGGTGTACCTGTGACAGCGTTGTGCCATGTCTTTGACTTACATATCCTTATTACTGGTGATCAAAGTGGAACGGTGAAGCTCTTATTTGTTGGATAATATTATGCAAGTAGATCTTAATGCACTGAAGCTTACTTGTAACACAAATATGTTTTTTTGCAGGTTCGTATTTATAAATTTAAAACTGAGGTTTTGACCCCAGACAACAGCTTTTTGCCGTTCCAAGGTATGATGCATAGATATGAATCATCCTTATTGTGTACTAATATACCCTTCCTGTGTATCCGACCAGAAGAAGAAATTTTAAAACCATGTGACGACCTCAATTTAGAAATCTGTCGAACATATGTTTCCTCTGTATAATTGTTTCAAAACCTTGTTCTTGACTAAACTTTGATTGTAACATAGGTTTAAAGAAAGGAGGCAATCAAATAATCCGAAGTCTTAAGCTTTTGAAGGTCAACGGGGCTGTACTTTCTATTAGTGTGAGCCCTAATTCGAAGAGTTTTTGTGTTGGATCTAATCAAGGATATGTAAGTCTTCTTTCTTACTTTTATCATTTTGTTTTTCTCGCTATTAGAGTATCTTGCTTCTTATTGTTTAGATTAATCTTTTTGAGTTTATAGGCCAAAGAATATCAGAGGTAGAACCCTTAATGATTACAATAATAATACAATCCGACATCAGAAAAATATTCAAATACAAATCAACCGGTAAAGATTTGGGCTATGTATACGCTGCATGCTACTCTTTGTAGGAAATGTGGCAGTAATAAAGCTATATTGTTCTTTTGATATCCTCATTGCCTGCCTTGCCAGGCTTGCTTAGTTTTGCATTTTTCTGTTAAATTAATGCGTAAATTGAACTTGTATCTCAATTGGTTTTACATAAAGGTTTCACATTTTGACTTGGAGAGCCTCAGTGTATTGTATGAAAGGCAGATACCAAGTGAGCTGTGTACAGGCATCATCTCTTCACAGTTTGACACGTGCAACCTCCATGGTTTCGAGAAGAATGTTCTAGTACTGGCTACAAGAGATTCTTCTGTGGTGGCACTTGATGGTGAGACAGGGAATATATTAAGTCATAGCATGGTTCATCCTAAAAAACCATCCAGAGCATTGTTTATGCAGATTTTGGGTAATATATGTAAGAGTATATTACAGGTTTCTAGTTAGGTTCTTAGACAGTTAGACATAAGGTTATTATAAGCATTAAGAGATTTCTCCCCTCCTTGTTGTCCTTTATAGGTTCTTCTAGCATGTCAGGTAGCATGGACTCTAATGCCTCAAGAGTACCATTAGTTTTGCTTTGTTCTGAAAAGGCTGTTTATGTGTATTCCTTGGTCCATGCAGTTCAGGTAATCTGGCATTTTAATGGTATACTCCTTCCGTTCTAGATTAATTGTCTATTAAGGGGAAAAATTGGGATCATAAGGTAGTAAACTGATTTTTTCAAAAATTTACTAGCATACCCCTATTAAATTTTAGGTATTAAAATGTGAAGGAAACTTGTCATTTTATAATGACTTCATTGGATTGCTAAATGGTCACTTATTATTGTACGATGTGTTTTTGTTAATGGGCGATTGATTGAGAACAAAGAGAGTTGTTTATAAGTTTAAACATGAATCAAGCGTGTATGCAGGGTGTTAAAAGAGTACAATACAAAAAGAAGTTTCATTCATCTTCTTGTTGCTGGGCATCCACTTTCGAGTCTCCCCAAGCAGGTGTTATTCTTATCTTTTCAAATGGGAAAGTTGAAATAAGGTAATATTTTCCATTTCAATGGCTTTCAACAGAGAAAATTATACACTTGCATGAGCAAAAGTTTTTTACTGTGTTGTGAAAAACTTCAGATCCCTTCCAGAGCTGTCCCTTTTAAAAGAAACTTCAATAAGAGGGCTCACAGTTTCTACTTCAAAAGCAAACTCTATTTCAGACACTTCTATATGCTCTTCGCGTACTGGTGAACTCATACTGGTACATCAGACCAACTTACGTTGATGCGTTTTTCAATAATATTGTAAGTTTTAAGTGAAATAAAGCTAACAGGAATTGTGGAAATTTATTGTTGTAAGGTTGACAAGGATCAGGAAATGTTTTTCTTCACAGTTTCAGTCCTAAAAGATTCCTACAGGTAATGGACTTAGAACTGGACATGTGATTTCTTATATAGCCCACTAGAGCACTTACCTAAACACCCTCCCCAAGTTCATATTTATTGTTCTTTAAATAATCATAAAATAGGTTTCATATTTCACTGCATTGGACTTTTCATCTTCCTCTATAGGTTTCTAGAACCAGCATCTCAAGTTTACAATAGAGATATATTGGTTGAACTGGGGCCAATTTCAGCACCAATCATTCCCAAGGAAAAGAAAAAGGTTTAGTTTTATTTTTTACTTTCTTTAAAGAATGCATGATTTTGTGGTACACAAACAAAATGCTTATTGCTATTTATGAATATAGGGTATATTTGGCTCTGTGATTAAAGGAAACAAAGGAAAGAATGTGTCTGAACAAGCAGCTGAAGATCCACAAGAAAGTATCGAGGAGTTGTCAACAATCTTTTCAGTTCTCAACTTTCCATTAGACACCGAGGACGGAGAAGAGTTAAACATGAATGAAGATGATGGTGATGATGATAGTTTGGATATAGGTATTTCACATATTCCATATGTATCCTCTCAGTATGATTATTCACTTTTTATATCTTGAAAAATATCACAAAATGGCAATTCGCTGAGATAACTGTTATCATGTCTCATTACAAACTACTACGTATATTGGAATTGTAAATAAACCACAACCTCAAAAACTTTATTTTTCTTGGCAATTGAAAATTCATTTCTGTTTGCACACCTTATTGCAAATAGGGGGAAATATGGTAAGGTTTGCCTTTCTGAAATGGCTGGATCACCTTAATTTTCTAAGAGAAATATGTTCACCTGCACCCTTTTCAAGCAAATAAGCAACTCAGACTCTACTCATTCTGTTTATCCTTCTGCAATCAGAATAAATAAGCTGATTGGTTCTGCTACAAACGGAACCTATAGTCATAGAAGTGCTGACGAGAAACCTTTCATTTCTTTTTTTGAAGATGACATTGACATTGAAGATCCTGTAATAAAACCTAAAGGAAAACCGAAGGTTGCAACAATAAACAAACAGAACCTTACAAATTCATTTGAAGCATTTCGAGGTTACTTCTCAACTTTCATTAACAATCAACAGGGGTTGTAGGGACCTTTCATGCACATATGCTTAAATTTTTTGTAATCTTCATTCTTCAGGGAAATTTAAGCACAAGAAGGTAAAAAGTGACAAGGTTCAAGTTATTACTGAAGCGCCACTGCAAGGGGATAATTCTGGTGCTATTGATCAAATAAAGAAGAAATATGGATACACTTCATCTGTAAGCAAGAAGCATTCTTCTTCCTTTCTATAGATTACTAGTAATCATTTGCCATTTCTTAACAACCGCTGAATGTTCCATACCATAATACTGCAGGAACATAATGTTGCAGAAGCAGCAAAATCAAAGCTCAGTGAAAATTTGAGGAAAATGCAGGTGCCCTAATATACCAAACTTCTTTAATAACCATTCATATGCTATTTAGTACTCCATCCATCCCCAAAAAGGAGTCCTGTTTTGGGTAAGACACAGCTTTTGGGGGTTTCTGGTTTCCGGAATATTAGATTGTGTGTGTAGTAATGTGACAGGAAGGTAATGTGTGATTACGAGAATGTAAGATTGCTTAGGTAATATTAATCGTTTTAAAACAAAAATTGCATTAATACATTATTTTGAGATAGTAGACCATTACCATGGTAATCTTACATTACATAAGAAATCCAAAGCAATCACATAACCCCCAATATGAATCATTTTCCTATGTGGCTGTATTATAAGATAATAATCTTAAAGTTAGAACCAAACAACGGTATCCCATATAACCTTTTTCTGGTAATAACTCGAACTAAATGAGGTAATCTAACAATGCCTATGTAACAATCCCAAGGGAATGTGAGAGATAACTTCAACCAAAGTACCAAACACCCCTTTGTATTTAGTCAACTCGGTCAAGGTTCAAGATTTTACAAGTTTTGAATGCTCATGTCTTGTATTGATTGGAGTAGTTAACTAAAATTGTTTTCAGCTGTGACTCTTTTTTGGAAAGGATGGAATACGTTTAACTTTGTTTTTTATACTTAACTTTCTTGATTTTTGTTCAACCTTTTTGGGGGGCAGGGCATAAACCTCAGGACAAACGAGATGCAGGAGACAGCTAAATCGTTTTCTGCAATGGCAAAGGAGATGCTGCGATATTCTGGAAATGAAAAGGGAGGAAGTTAATATTATCATTAATTAACACAATGTCAACCATAGCAGTAGTTCAGATATTCTTGCTGCATTGTATTGACATGATATTTATTTTATTTTATTTTATTTCAGTAGAAGCAATGTACATAACCACATATGTATATATGCATATGTAAATTTTGTGGTTTTAGAAAGATATCACTGATTTTTAGCATTTATTTGCAGGAACTGTACGTATGAATTCATATGAACAACACAATATTTAGATACACACATTGTAAATTTAGAACTTGTTATTGAATAATGGAGAAGCAATTCGCAAGGTTTCGGTAGATATGAGATATTGACGCAAAATTTAAAAAAAATGTGCACAATTAGGGCAAAATATCAATAGCCAGAATATATAATTGGTGAAATGATCTATAAGAACACCTCAAACTATATATCCTTGCAATTTGTATACTAATAGGTCTTTTTCTTTACTACTAGGTTTATAACTTCATAGAGAGAATTGAATTATTGTTTTTCTTTTGGGGTGTACCCGGTTTCAATTTCAAAATTGGACCGAAATGGCCGAGAGTTAACCACCAAGACCGTGGATAAATTATTTAATTTAGATTGTGTGTTATTTGAGATTTGAGAGAATTATAATCAATTCTTCAGCCGTTCCCCCATTCAAAGAATTGAACGCTCAGTTGTGTAGACTGTAGATGAGCCGGGGGAAGCACCTCATTTCTCAACTTTTGAGGTTATTATCGGGTTTCAAAGTTAAGTAAGAGATGTTGGTGACACGTGCTCAAAAATGTAATAATCAAAATAAATAAAGTTATTTATGATATTTAGCAGTTGCCCTACTCAGCTTCAGTAGAGGATCTACTAACAACTTGTTGCTTTTTAGAATTCTAGGAAATCAGAGAATTACCAAGATAAAAAGCATAACCTGAAACACTTCTCCTAGTATTTATACAAGCTGCCCAGTTTGAGTCAGTGTATCCTTGAATAGAAAAGTCAGAAATACATGAGTAAAATAAACCTTTACCTGGAGAATTCTTAAGGTATCTCAGAACCCTATGAGCTGTAGTCAAATAAACATTAGTAAGAGAAGCAAGAAATTGACTAAGAACTTGTATACTATAAGCAATATCAGGCCTGGTTAAGTTAGATAGAGCAACTTACCAATTAGGGTTCTATATGTTTTAGACAATTTCATATTAAGTTAGAATGTCTAAAGTGTATTTTCTTTGACATAGATTTATACCTTTATCAGATCTAGCAATTTCAATCCCTAAAATGTATTTTAATTCACCAATATCTTTAATAGTAAACTTGTTGTTTAAAAAAGTTTTGACTGCATTGATTTCTTCTATGCTGTTTCCAGCAAGGATGATATCATCTACATATATTAAAAGTACAGTAAAACAAGTTCCAGTGATCTTGGTGAATAAAGAGAAATCAGCATGTCACTGTTTATAATCAAAAAATTTAGAGAATCATAAAGTTTACAAAATCATTGCCTAGATGTTTGTTTAAGACCATAGAGACTCTTAACAAGCTTGCAAATCCTGTTATCAGTAGGAGTTAAATAACCTGGAGGAGTCTGCATAAAGATTTCTTCATTTAAGTCACCATGTAAAAAGGCATTGTTTACATTAAGTTGGTGTAAAAACCAATTTTTAGCACTGGCAATAGCCAAAATTATTCTGAAAATAGTTAATTTTACAACAGGGGAGAGTGTCGAAATAATCAAAACCTTCTTCTTGAGTATAGCCTTTTGCCACTAATTTGGCTTTATATCTATCTAAAGATCCATCAGGTTTTAGTTTTGTTTTAAAAACCCATTTACATCCTATGATATTATGATTAGGAGGAGGTGGAACTAATATCCAAGTTTTGTTATTTTCTAAAGCTTGAATTTCATTAGACATGGCATTCTGCCATTCAGGAAATTTAGCAGCTTGTTTATAAGTTATAGGTTCAATAATTTTGGAAAGAGCATGAGTAAAACAAGAATGAGAAGTTCCTAATCTATTATATGTTACTCTGTATATGATTTTTAATAGGATATCTAACAAGATTACATGAAGCAGAAGACGAGGAAGAAATATCTGCAGTAATAGAGTTAGGTAATTCATAACTTTAATCTTGAAGATGTATAGGGAGAGTCATGTATATTCATAGTATTGAATTCATCATTGATCTGATTTTCTAAATAGTGATTAAAAGGTGTGTTATATTCATAAGTATAATCATGAGTAGTGAAAAATCTAAAATAGAGTCAGAATGAACAGAATCATTATTAGAGGGGTCAGTATTATTTTTATAAGGAAAATTCATTTCATAAAATTTTACATTTCTGGATATAAAAAAATTGTGATTAGAAATATCATAACAGCCCTTTTATCAAATTTTGATCTATCAGCAGATAAAGTAGAAGCATAGACAAGAGAGCCAAAAACTCTTAGATGAGAATAATCAGGCATTTTACCATATAGTAATTCATATGGAGATTTATTACTGAGAATAGGAGTGCAATTTCTATTTATAATATGAACAGTAGTTATCAGACCAAAAAATGAGAGGTAGACAAGATTGAAATAAACGAGATCTAGCAACTTGAAGAATATGCTAATGTTTTCTTTCAACCCTAACATTTTGCTGGGAAGTTTCAACACAAGATAATTGATGAATGATGCCATTATCAGTATAGAGAGAAGGAAAAAAAATCAGTGTCATTGTTTGTCCTAATAATTTTAATTTTAGTATGAAATTGAGTAAGAATCATATTGTAAAACATCAGGATATAGAATGAGGAAGCGGTCCAGCCAAGCTGGTCGCCGACTCACTCTCCCTTACGGGAGGTCTCGGGTTTGATACTCAATGGAGTGAGTTTCAGCCTAGATTACTCCAGGCTCCCCCAGACGCCCCCTGGAGTAAAAAAAAAGAAAAAAAAACTTCAGCATATAGAATTTAACTTCAGATTTGCTTTTCATCATAAAAATCCAAGTACATCTAGTGTGATCATCAACAATAGTTAAAAAAATATTTGAAACCAGAATAAGATTCTACTCTAAAAGGACCTCAAACATCCATATGCACAAGATCAAAAGCATGCAAGGCATAAGAAGAACTATTTGGAAATGGTAACTTTTTTTGTTTAGCAAGGTGACAAATATCACAGGAAGTATTTTTATTCATATGATGTTGAATATTACAACCAACAAGAGAACTTAGTTTATTAAAGGGTAGATGACCTAGTCTATAATGCCAGACATTAGATTTATTAGCTAAGTATTGAGTATTAACAATATTAGCAGCAAAAGGATTATTAGGTGTAAGAACAGATTGTGAAGAATTGTAAAGATAAAGTCCACTTTGAAGATCAGCATAGCCAATCATTTGGTTGGTGAGTAGATCCTTCAAAGTAGCATGATTAGAAAGGAAGTGAACAGGGATATTTTAAAACTAAATTGTGGAATATATAAGACATTGTGAAGAGTAAGATTATCATTGACTTTAATGTCACCAAATATGAGTAGTAGTTATAAAAGAACCAATAGGTAGTTGAACATTAATAGAAGTAGGTTTGGGTGATGATGTATATAAACAGGACCGTTTTTTTAGGGGGTTCAATAGGTTATCCAGAATAGGACCCCCGAATTTATGGGGCTCCAAAATTTTAAAAATTTATTAGTATTATATAATACTCAAAAATATTATACTCTCTCCACCCCTTAAAACTTTGCCATCTTTCCTTTTTTGGACGTCCCAAAAAACTTTGTCACTTTCCCTTTTAATCATTTTTTGTGGTTTCTGTTATTTCTCTTTCCTCTTCACAAACATCAACCACACAGTTTTTACTTTATTATTCTCCGTGCCGGTCAACTTTGGCAATGTTTTAAGGGGCGGAGGTAGTACTACGTATATTAATACTAATAACTAAAACACGGTTAGTGAGGAAGTAAAATATAGATTCACCATTTTTTTCGTTGATCATTTTAGTTTTCTTTATTCAAATTGGTTGAATAATGAGTTGGGTTGCTTTAAATCAAATATCAAGTCAATTTTAGAAATTTTTTATTACATTATTTAATGAGTATTCATTTGATTTAAGAATAAGTATTTGGATTGAAATTTTTTTGTTTCTTTTTAATATTAATGTGGGGCCTCGAATTTACATTTGAAACTGGGGCCTCCGAATTCATTAGACGACCCTGTATATAAACTAAAATTGTGAGTCATATGATCAGAGGCTCCAGTGTCAAGTATCCAAATAGAAGTTGGAACAGTAGATAAGAAAACAGAATGATTACCTAGAAAAGAAGAATCATTAGAAGACTGATCATGTTGTGGAACAGCCATAGCAACATGAGCAGTAGCAGGATTAGCACTCTGAGTTTTCATAAACTCAAGAAACTTGTTGTAGAGAGTAGGATAACAGAGCTCCATGTCAGCAGAAGAAGATTTAGTGGATGTGTTAGCTAGTGGATGTCTCAATCCTTTAGGCCCTTTCCAGTTGGGAGGATAACCAATAACTTGGAAGCACGTGTCAACATAATGTCCTTGATAACCACAGTGAGTGCAAGTGATGGATTTCTTTTTGTAGTTAGGATTTTTGATTAGAAAAGCAGTAGAATCAGCCGTGGAAGAATCATAGGTATTAGAATGATCAGAAGGAAAGGGAACATAATTAAGAGGATGTTGAAGTGTTCTTTGAGACTCAACCTGTAGAAAGAAAGAGTAAACAGCAGAGAGACTAGGGAAAGGTGTTTGAAGAAGAATTTGACTTCTCAAACTAGAGTAGGATTCATTCAAACCAACAAGGAATTTCTGAAGGAAGAGTTTTAAAATCAACATATTTGTCCCAAAGACCTTTGAACATGTTGTAGTAGGTAGTAAAAGTTTGAGTTCCTTGAGAGATATTACCTAGGGTTTTTTCTAGTTAAAAACTCTAGGACCATCACTTTTACCATACCTAAACTTAATTTCGTCCCAAAAGTCTTTGACAGAGGTAAAGTATAAGAAAGTGGAGCAGATTTCAGGAGCAATAGAGTAAATCAGCCAAGAAATGATTGGAGCATTTATACGATACCAGACCGAGTAAGCAACGGAGTCATCTGGACTTGGTTGAGTGATAGAGCCATCAATAAACGCCATATTGTTCTTCACGCTGAAGGCCATAGTGACGGATTTCTTCCAAGCGTTGAAGTTATCACCAGTGAGCATCTCAGAGATATACAAATTCCAGCATGATCACTAGGATGCAAGTAATATGGAGATGAAGGATCCTCACAAGGATTTAATGAAAAAATCGACCGATTGATCTCAAAAAAAAAATATGCGATTAGGGTTTCTGAACCGATTGAATTCAGATGAGAAAAGAAGATATTTGATTATAGAAATCGAAGAAGATGAACAATATCAGAAGGACGATGAAGGATCGAATCCTAATCTGATACCATGTGAAGATTTATCTCAAGAAATTTATTGAATTGTTATCAGCAAAGGTACAGAGCGTTTGCAGAAGAAGGAGATTGCGGAAGGTGTATTCTAATTGAATGAAAAACTTAACTTACTTACAATCAGTTTGAGGTATTTATACCTATTACATAAAAGACTATCAGAATAACTAAAAGCCCGAATAAAACAATATATAGGCCCAAAGCTGAAGCAGATCAGTCCAGTGTATTATCCTTGATACAAACATAAAGGTCATTTCATGGAGGAGAGTTTATTATGAATGTAATCTAACTGATAAAGTGAAATAATATCAAATCTGGCCAACAAAAGATAGTCGCAAATACAATTGAAAAAAGTAAGTACTACAGACTAAGATGTTTCCCAAAAATTAAGCTTATTTTGGATGATGTAGTATTTGTTGCACATCACTTGGATTTTATAGGGAAAGGGAAGGGCTGTAAGGGTTGACTCGTTCCTTTTGTGTTTGGGAGTTCTAAGAATTGGGAGGAAAGGTTTGGGGTACTTTTAAAATCCTTCTAAACCCTTCAACAACTCATGGTCTAAGTTCCTTCGATTTGGGAGTGTTTGGAGGATGATCAATTATTTTAACCCCACGTACAATGAATATGGCTCTAGTAAGCAGTAGCTATTCATAATTTGTTGATATACTCTATTTCAATTGTTTTAATTTTTAAATTATTCGTCATTCTTTGTTTGATCGTGAGTAAATTGGTGTGTGAATTTAATAGAGTAAAAATTTACAAAATAGGACTAAAAAAAGATCAAAATTTACAAATAGGAGTAGTTTTAAAATTACCAAAATAAAATCTTTTTTTGTGATCGGAGAAAAATGCCCCTGCCATTGTCCGACTTTGGCCGCCGCCAAATTTCTTATTGCCGGTCACCGCCAGCGCCGACCTCCAGAGCTTCGGCTGGGCCAATTTTTTTCTTCTCTAGCCTCTTGGGGCCACCCCCAAAACGGGACTGCCCTGCCACTGTGGACTGTCTCGGTTATGTAAGGGAACTAGGGGGCAATTAATTTATTAGGTTAGAAGTATCAAGGGTAGAAGATTAAGTTTTAGTCCTATTTGTGAAAGATTTGGGTTTTGATCGTATTAGTGCAATTAGTTTTTCATTTAGTTTTATTTAGGATAATTACTAATTTTTTTATTTTCATCATTTGAATATATTTTATGTTGAAAGTAAAAAGGATACATGTGTAATTTTAGTCTTAATACCCCTAACCCCCTTCTTTACAAATTTGTAACTCCCAAACAAGGAGAAGAGTTCCTTCCCGTCTTCCTCACCTTCCCTTCCATTTACGAGTTTTAATATGGTATTAGAGTCTCTTATGATAATTAATCGTTTGATTATAAGATTGAAATGAATATTTCAGGAAAGCCTATCCAAAATTAGTTTTTCCTACTTATTATTAGCATATTAAAATGTGTGAAGACCCCTGTAAGGCTGTAACTCCATTAACTTTTTATAATGAAATCTCAACTTTTAATTAGGTTCTTTACACACAGTACTAGGATTGTTGGAGCTATGAACCAATGTTCTATGTAAATGTAGTTTCTTCACATTATGGTGTGTGACTAGGGATGGACCCAAAAAATGGTCAGCCCTGGACTGACCCGCTATTTTTGGGGTCTAGGCCGGTTCCGGGTACGTGGGTGATCCGGTTCTGGACCCGGATTAGTATTTTTTGGGGGGTTTACCCGGTTTCAAGCTTTAAAAAATTGGATGGTCCGGGACCGGAACCACCTAGTTCAGTCCCTAAATAGGTGATCCGAGACCTTGAGCCGCTCTTGGGCAGACAGGGCCAGTTCTAGGCCTGAAAAAAGAAATTCCAAACCCGTTCCGTACCCAAACGGTGTTGGACCCGGTTCCGGAACGGGTCCACCCCTATGTGTCGCCAATGAATGTGAGGTTTTGTTTGATGAGGTTTTGTTTGATGATGCTTGGTGAATGCTGAAGATCATTTCCTATAGTTACAATATTTGACTTCGAATGATAGTTAAACTTACACATTTAGAGGCCGTTTGGCAACCCTCATTTTCGGCTTATCAGGTTTATCAGCCAACTTTTTTACCAAACACGTAAATTTTGCTTTCACGCGCTGAATTGTGTAATAAGCCGAAAAATTAAGGTTGAAGTTACTTTTCTGGCTGTATTGGCTGAAGTTACCGTAGATGATCATTTTAGCTATTTTTACATATATTTTTTTCTTTATTTTATTAATAAAATATATTTCAAAAATATTTTATTCTTGTATCAGCAGAATCAGCCAATGCAGCCACTTCAACCAGAACTTCATAAATTTCAGCAGAATCAGCCAAAACAGCCGATTTTCGTGCTACCAAACAGACCCTTAAACTACAATAAATATTTCGAAAAATTGCCTACAAGTGGAGTGATAGTTTTCTCGTGTTTCAAAAAATTGAGTTCTTTTACTTTAATCAACATTTAAAATCAAAAGCTTCTATGTAAATCATTCAAATTTTTATTGACAAAATTGAACACATGTGATAATTTTGAGTTGTGTTTGTGGGGTGTCATTTTAATTTTAATTTTGTTCCAGCATCTTCATTTTTTTCACTCTTAGTTATAGCTAGAGAATACATATAGCAGAGCTTATAGTTTTCGGAATACATATACCACAAATTTTGACTTTAAATATGATAAAGTTTAATATTACATGTATCACTGTTTAGTGTGTTAGGGACGGACTCGGGCCGGGTCAACCGGACAGAAACCGGACCGGTACTGTTACGAACCGGACCGACCCGTGGCCCGGGTCCGGGCCAGGTGCAATATACCCGAACCGGGATTTTTCGGGGTGGGCTCTGGGATTTTTCAAAATTTTGGGGGGGTAAATGGGTTAGGCGGGGTGTTTTGGACGGGTTTGGGGTGGACGCGGGCCGGTCCGGTTCCGGTTCCGAGCCGGACCCGGACGGGCTTTCTTTGACGATTGTTGGGCCCGGAACCGGGCCGGGTTAATACCGGGTCCGGGCCAAACCGGGCCGGGCCCGGGTCTATTTAATTTTTCTTTTTGCTTTCAAATAAATCCCCGACCCCCACCCCCACCCCCCACCCCCCCTCAAACCTTCCCAAAACACCCAACAAATAGAGCTAACCAGGGGCGGATGGTAGCCTGGCCAGGGGTGGGCTTCAGCCCAGCCGAATTATTTTTTTTAATAGTATTGGTATATTTTCAGTTCTCAGCCGAGCCTAAATTTAATTGTCAACCCACCCCACAAATAATTCCCAGCGCAGCCCACAAAAACCAGTCAACAACCCAGAACGCAGCTTTACCCCTTAGGCCCTTACGCCAACTTGCGAAGTCGAACTGTCGAAGGGACGAATGGAACGGGCAATAGGGATTTGGGCGACACCGCGACGGAACTCGGAAGTGCTCCGCAGTCCGCACTGAAGCAGCGAAGTGAGCAAGTCGAGCGACAGAACCAAGCTGAACCTGTCGCCGGTGCCGCCGTGCCGGAGACGTGAACAGCAGCGACGCGTCGAGCCGCCGAAGCCTCTGCCTCCCTCTCTCGAGTCTCGACCAGTTGATGAGCAACGAGCAATCCAGACCAGGTAAGAGCATCTTGTTGGGAGGAATTTCTTAAAGAAGTCAAGAGTTTTTGCACTTCAAATGATATTGATGTTTCAAATTTGGGTGATCCATATAAGATTGGGCGTTCTCGTTTCCAACCAACAATAGAACATCATTATCATCTTGATGTCTTCAATGAAGCAATTGAATTTACTTTGACCGAGTTAGGCACGCGCTTTAATGATACATCCATGGAACTTCTTCAACTTAGTCTTGATTTGGATCCCAAGAACTCCTTCAGCTCATTTAACAGTGAGGATATCTGTAAACTTGCAAAAAAGTTTTATCCTGCAGATTTCACTGATCAAGACATTGTCTCACTTGAGTATGAGTTGATTCACTACAAGCATTATATTGTTTCAACATCTGAAGCGTCCATACTTGTTGAGTTATGTCAACATTTGACGGAGAGTAGGAAATCAGAAATCTATGTTATGTTGACGAGACTAATTCGCCTAGTTTTGAACCTACCTGTTTCTACATCTAGAAAGAGCATTTTCAGCAATGAAGCATGTGAAGACGACACTTCGTAACAAAATGGGAGACAATTTTCTTGAAGATTCATTGATGATCTACATTGAACAAGACTTTGTCAATAATATAGATGTAGATTCTATTATTGATGAATTTTATACTTTGAAGTGGCGTAGAGCACAACTTAAATGATGTTTTAATGAATTTGTAAGTGTTGACGACTTGACTTATTATTATGTATGTGTATTTCAATTTTTTCCCCAGCCCACCCCATTGTGACTTTCTGGATCCGCCCCGGAGCTAACGGAGTAACGGTATAAAAACGCAAGTAAAATTGTGGCAAGTAAAGTTGTAAATAAGCATAACAATGGATTAAAAACATACTCGTATTCTTCATCATAATAACAAAGTACATGGAGCAATGGATTAAACCAAATGCTCACCCCACTTGGACTAAGGAGTAACCATTTTTCTTTACCATCTAACACTCCTCCAAAAAACATAAAAAGAAATAAAACAGGAAAGAGCAACAGCTACCACTATATGCTATATCCCATAGGCAAACGTTTCTTTGAACATCCTTCCACTATTACACAACGCTGCAGCAATCCATATCATCCAACATATTTCTGCCCAGGTACTTTTAATCAGAATCATCATCGCCCTAAGCAAAGAACAAATATTCAATATATCATAATCACTTATTAGTAAATATTATAGTAATGACAACGAAATTTGTTATCATCAACTATTAAGATATGGATCAAGCAGCTCACATCGTCACTGCCACCATCTTCATCGTCATCATCATCGTTGACCTCTGATTTTGACCTGTCAGATTCCTCCTCCTCTGCAGTAGCCTGACTCTGGGGGTCACAGAAAACCAATTCGTGGTTTAATATTATTAATTAATCATATACTCCGTATAAAAGCTTTAGGGAAATGAACAATACCTGTTTGTTATCATACTCCTTCATTTTCTTCCCGTATTCCTTCTTCCTATTCTCAGCGGTGGCAATGTAGGGAGCTTTCTCCTGAAATCGGTTTGAACACAAACGGATAAGATTTGGCAGCTGGTTTTTAGTATGAGAAAGCTCATATGATAATAATTAGAGTTTAACTTACAGCATCGGTCATGCTCTTCCATTTTGCCCCGCCAGCTTTACCCACCTGAGATTAAAATACTGAAATTATTACTTAAGCTTAACAAATATAATCCACACGGCAATCAGGATCTTATATACTCACTTCGGAAACAGACTTGTTGGCTGGATGCTTTTTCTTATAGGATACGCGAAAATCCTCCCTGTATTATACAAATTCATACAATTACATGCTGCTAAACGGAGAACTACAATCAAATACCATCTGAAAGTAGCAATTATCGGTGAATTTTACATGAAGACGAAAAAAGCACTGGGAGGCCTCTTCGGTTTGTTCGGGTCCTTAGCAGGTTTAGCAACTTTTTTCTTGCTTTTAGCCTTCACTGCGAGCCTGCAAAACCAGAGAATCGTCAATTTCTCAATGATTATCCACACAAAAAAAACTCATAAAAGAAGTAAAATCACAGATCCGAACAGAAAACGAATAAAATAGATCGAGGAGACAATAAAACTCACTTGTTGTCAGCCTTCCCCTTGGATTTAGCACCTTTCATGGTGAAAACTGCAAGGAAACAACAAAAACCTGTCAGTATGGTCGTGAATCGGCTGAAAACGGTACGGCTCGGGCGAGTCAGCGCCGCAAGGCAGTGAGTTTACCTCTGTCTAGGGTTGGAGAATAGAGAGAGGAGCAATAAACGCAAGGATAAGCTTCGTTGGCTTTGTGTGTGGGCTTTCGAGGGAGAGTGGGCGCGAGGGATATCGAGCGCTGCAGAGGACTGGAAAGAAATTTGTAATCACGATCAAAATTCAAAATAGACCTCCTAAGAAAAATCTTAAATTCATCATATAAACACAAAACACATGTACTAGTAAGGACATGATAGATTGCTCTCTAAGCCCCTTAATCAAGATACCATAGAACTGGATTAGACTCTCTAGGAGTAGTAAACAGAGCAGGACTGGACGGCTAAGTGAAGCGTGAGAGACAAGTGACAGTTGAATGACCTGCAGAAAATCAAATTTGACACACGACGGGATGGAGAACAGAGCCAAGAATATCCCGTCTTATGGAAAGCCTGCAGAACTAGAAATAGTAACACCAACATGTAATGCATTAATATTTAAATGTGGCATAGCAGAATTACAAATAACAATACCCGTAGTCGGCACACCCCCTGCATGTGGAGCATACCCGGCTGGAACCGAAGGAGCACCCCCTGTCTGGGCATATCCCGATTGCTCCTGCTGCGGATACCAATACATGGGCTGCCCATAATGTACCCCCTGTTGTCTCGTCCGCGGCCACGGCCACCGCATCCCCTGTCGCGACCACGACCACGACCGTGTTGCGGCTGACCTTGTGAACGTTGTTGCGCTGTCCCGACTGCTGAGACCTCTGTGGCTGCTGGCCCGCCTGCTGGCCACTGGGCTGCCCAGGGTACGAGGCGATAGCGCCGAATGCCTGGTGCGTAGATGACGACTCCTGGGAGCGGAGATAAAGAACTCGCTACTTTAACTCAAGAAGATGATTGCGCAGTGTCTCAAAAAGAAAATTTTGAGGAAATAGCGAGACAGTAGTGAACGAAGATTCATACTCGGGTCCCAACCCCATAATAGTAGTTTTGAGGACTTCGCGAGGAGGGACAGGGCAATTAATCATAGCAAGATCATCAGCCAAAATTTTAATCTCACATAAATAATTGTTCATAGACTGAACAAGTTTCTTTTTAATTTGAGAAAATAAGCGCTTTAATTCCATAGATCTGGCCAAAATGACAGACATAAAACGAGACTCTAATCACTCCCAAATTTCACAAGAATGTTTTAAATCCCGAACATCAATGAGAACATCACAAGAAAGAGTGGCAAATAACCATGAACGAATTGTTTGATCAATTCGTAGCCAAGTAGAAAATTCGGGATTGGGAGTTTGACGGTTGAGCATATCTATGGAATAAGCAGGAGGTACCTGAATGGAGCCATCAACCATGCCGAGAAGACCTTGCGAGACAAGGAAGGACTCAAACTAGGTACGCCAAGTAGTATAGTCCTCCACCGCTAGAAGCTTTGTGGTAACAATATTGGTAACATTAGTGGTGACATGAGAGATGCTGTGGACGAGCTCTGCCAAGGGGGGTCCGTCTGTACTGCCCATGGTGGTCCGAGGAGACGGTAGGGTAGATGAAACTCCCGGTGATCCAACGAACGTGGGTCCAGAAAAAGGCCTGGCCGAGAGGGGAGGTGGATCCAGGGAAATCCGTTGCACTGGAGTGGGGGCTGGCCAGAGAAACGCCGGAGGCAGATCTGGAAAAAGAGAATGCGGCATGGAGGTCCGGCTGGAAGAGGCGAAGTGGGAGGAGAACGTCACGCCCGTCTCGAAATTAAGGACCGGCTGCGTTCCAAACTGTAGCGGAGCGCCGGTCGAGAGAGAGAGAGAAGTCTGCCGCGACGGAAGAAGAAGAGAGTCCGGCGAAGGAGGAGACCGCCAGGGATGGCACTGCGGAAGAAGCTTGCGTGGAGGAAGAGGACATCTTCAGTGGCAGCAGTAGAGAGAGAATCGAAAAAAATAGGGTTTTTACTGTGCTCTTGATACCATGTGAAATAACGGAACATGTTGCTCTCTAAGGAACCGTGACAGATATATTTATAATAAAGAGAGTTTAATGTAAAGTACAATATTAATCTTATAATAATTCTATTAATAAACACGAAACACGTTTACTAAAAAAGCATCACATAAACATGTTTTCTCTAAAAAGAATGAAATTAAACACAACAAATAAAGTGGATGTGCCTAGACGCTTTCTTCTCTCTTCTCGTAGAGAGTAGTGGTGGGGGCAAAAAGTCGAATGAATTGTTGATGTCTATACCAAGCGAGATGCAAGGTAATCCGATCAAAAGCGTCATTGTGTGAAGGAAGTGGGGAGATTTGGTTGCGGTGCAAGAATGGAGATCGAGATGGTTGATCCAAAAATGGGAAAGAGGTGGGTTGGGACGTGTCTGCTCATCATGATTGATGAGGAGTGTGAAAGTTGGGTGTGTGAGCAAATTGTGAAAGTTAACAGGTCAAGAAGGATACTAGTTTATCATTTTTTATTATTTTCACTATGGATGAGAAAACCTTTGGATTTCATGTCTTATGTGGATAACAACAATGATATGAGATCTCTTGTAAAATTTAAGATTATTTTAATGTTGCGTATTAATATATCGGAGTTGGCCATTTTTTAGTCGATAATTGTGATTTTTCATTTCCATTTTTCTTAACTTTTTCTTTCTCTTTCTTCCTCGTTGGTTCGTCTAGCTCCCACCTATTGGAACATAATAATAATTATATTATTTATTCATATTACGTACATACTTATCTCTTGTACTTTTGTACTTTCAATATACTTCCTTATAGGGGTGAACAAAAAAACGAAAAACCGAAACTGACCGACAAACCGGACGAAACTGAACCGACCAAAATCGAAACCGACTCAAACCGAAACCGACTCAAACCGAGTAATCATTGTTGGTTCGGTTTACGGTTTCACCTTTTGGGTTAAAAAACCGACCGAGCTGAAACCGACCGATAAAATCCGACAAAAAACATGCTAAAATCGATCAAAACCGACCAAACCGACCGGAAATAACTGAATCGAATCGAACCAAAACCAACTCAAGTACTGCGGTTCAGTTCTCGGTTTCACCTTTTCTAAAACCGAAACTGACCAAACCGAAACTGACCAAACCGAACAGACCAAATTGAACCGACGAACACCCCTACAGTTCCTTTCCTTATGCTTATCATGTAGAGCTAGTACGTAGCTAGTTAGTTGGAAGTAATCAAGTAATACCTATCTACTTAGATCATATGTAGTGTATATATATTGGCACACATGTAATCTACGAATATAACATACAAATCATTTCTATATGGTATCAAGAGCCAATCTTTAAAGAGTTCACTCCTAATATCCCCCCCCCCCCCCCCCCCCCCCCGCTTCCCTATCACCATGAGCATCACGTCAACTACCATGGTGGTTCCCCTCACTGCCACCACCCATTTCCCCATCAAGCTCACCTCATCTAACTTTGCGGTGTGGAAGTGTCAAGTTCACTCTACCATTTTTTGTCTTGGACTTGATGCCTATGCCAGTACATCTCGTGGCCGCATTATCTCTCTGAAGACCTCGCTTGCTCGCACGAAAAAGGGATCCAGATCTATCCAAGCATATCTCGCTGAAATGTATGCACTCTCTGAGGTATTAGCCTTGGCCCAAAATCCATTACCCGAGGAAGATCTTGTTATCAATATTCTCGATGGATTGGGCCCAGACTATAGCGAACTTACCTCCGCCATCCGGGCCAAGACATATCATTGGAACATGAAACACGTCTCCAGGAGAGCACCAATTATACTGACCATATCATACCAACGGACAATGTCACCCACCTAGGTGATCGACGCATCCCACCTCCTGAACGTCGCTCACCCTCCAACAATGACCGACGTGGGTTTCCCACTCATCGGGGACGTGGACCTTCCCATGTTAGTCAGTCAAGATCACATGCAAATACGACTATTTGTCGTTTTTGTGAAAACATTGGTCATGACGTGCGCCAATGCAGAAAGTTACAACGATTTCTAAGAGATAATAAAGTGCCACATCCTACTGCCCTGGTTGCTAATCATACGACTACAACCGCTTTTGTGGCTAATCAACCCTGATTATTTGATATCGGTGTTTCTCATCACGTTACCGCTGATGCTGCTACTCTACCGTCCTACACTGATTATGGCGGTCCTGAGGAAGTACACCTTCGCAATGGTAAGACTCTACCCATTACACACACCGGCCACACCACCCTACCCACATCAAACTGTTCTCTGTCTTTATCTAATATTCTATGTGTTCCACACATCCGTAAAAATTTAATTTCCGTTGCAAAATTATGTCAATCTAACCATGTCTCTTTTGAATTTTTTTCTTCACATTTTCTTGTTAAGGATCGAGCCATGGGGGCCCCACTTCTACGCGGGGAGAACATTAATGATGTTTATTATGCACTAGTTTCATGCTCATCACAAGCTCATGTTACCCAAGTCTCCGTCTCACTTTCTTGGCATCACATTCTGGGTCATCTGTCAAGTCGTGTGTTTTCTACCTTAGTTAGTCAAAATAAACACTTCTTTCTGTGTAATATCTCTAATAATAATCATTTTAATTCTTGTCATCTAAATAAAAGCACGAAACTGCCTTTTTTTACTAATTCCATGCTGATATTAGTTAGCTTTATCTAATAAAAGCTACTCGTCCCCTAGAACTTATTTACTCAGATGTATGGGTCCAACTGATATGTCTATTGATGGTCACAAATATTATGTAATTTTTGTTGACTATTACACTCGATATATATGGTTCTACCCTCTCAAGAAAAAAAAACAGAAGTCTCACATATATTTCCACAATTCCAAAGATTAGTGGAAAAATATTTCCAGTCCTTAATTATTTCCATTTTTTTTATAATGGTGGAGAATATATCAAACTGAAATCCTATCTGAACTCTCAAGGTATATCTCACTTCACCACCCCACCCCATACTCCAGAACACAATGGTATTGCCGAGCGCCGACACTGTCATATTGTTGACACCGGTCTCTAACTACTCCACTACTCCGGCCTATCACTTAAATATATATTGGCCCTACGCGTTTCAAACTGTTGTATATCTTATCAATCATATTCCGACTCGCATCCTCCATAATGTCACTCCTTAATATAAACTTTACAACTGTCGCCCCAATTATAATAAATTGCAACCGTTTGGGTGTCTCTGCTACCCATGGCTCCGTCCGTATAACTCTGCAAAAATCCAATTACGGTCAACGTCATGCGTATTTCTTG